ACCAGGTGTTTATACTAACATTTATGACTCAGATTTTTTGGCAAAAATACCTATTAAATTGGTCAGTATTCATAAATATTAAGCATGGTTGTTCACTGACTTTTGAAGCAAAATGCATATGTTAAACTTTAATTAACATCATATCTGTGGTTCTTTGTCTCTTTTGGAAACCAAACAGCTAAACTGGATTCAGAGCGCTCTGTCATCTTGACTAACTTGACTTGAGCTAAAATCAGTCCACCACATCCTGGGTTCTGTACGATGAAGTGAATTCAACATACCTAGGCTATCTTTCTGTTATCTAGATTCACTTAGTCAGGATAAGCAGTCACATGAAGCAGATTATTAACTAGCTAATACTCAGGTTCCCTCTGCGCGTTCACACGAAAGTGGTAGCATTGGCAGACAAATTACAAACATTCACAAGTGTATATGGCCATCAGAAAGGCTGATTTTTACAGATAGAACTGTAATATAAAAATATGACTCAGAATACTTTATTAATCCCTAAGGAAATTATTTGGTTCCCGTTGCTTCAAGACAATAAGAACAGTGACAGACTGAACTAAATGAAATAATACAATATATTACAAAACATAAGACATGAGTCTAATATATACAAATAGCTCAATTACAAATATCCAGAATATAACAGAGATTAAATATATATGATTGACATTTTACTCTAGAGATCAACCAGTATAAAATAAAATATTCTGGCACATGGCCTTCTCTGTAGCAGGTTAGATTCACAGTATAAGTTACTATGGTGATGTAGCCCAGTAAGAAGTGAACCACCTTTGTAGTCCTGAAAAATCAGGTTTACCCTGAAGTTAACTGGATAACACGAAATCCTAAATTCAATCTGTTCTGATGTTATTGTCCTACTTTTATATATATATATATATATAAATGTATATATTTTAGTTAACCGCCTCCTCAGAGAGTAACCTATGAAGATAAAAATAAATTAGGCTGCAGGTGTTATAGCTCATGATTTTTCCAAAACATTAGTGTGACTTTTTGGTTTTAACAGTTTAATCTCTGTTTTAATGCATTTACACAATATAGCACCGGAGAGCAACTCCACAGTCATCAACATGTAATGAGTATCTAGAAATGCATACAAAACCAAAATGTTTCTACTTTGATTGGTGAAAAACATTTTAAAATGATCTTTTACCTTGAATAAATAGGTTCTGTGTAGTCATTATGCAAGTCCACTTAAGCTTGGTGCTCCCTGTTTCCCACTGTCACCCCAGAGTGTATTAGCAGCACAGTCACTGCCAGAGCTTTTATATAGATAGATGAGACGGGGGGAGGTGCTCAGGCAGAGGGTATGCCTGACACATAAACTGAGATAGGATTATTTTCCCAAAGTCTCCGCAGCATTGTCATGTGTCTGCCTCGTTTTTTTTTTCTTCCCAATCTATATGACTACC